CCCCAAAACCCCAAAACCCCAAAACCCCAAAACCCCAAAACCCCAAAACCCCAAAACCCCAAAACCCCTTTCAATTATATTAAAATTGAAGCATCTGCTATTTCAACAAATTGCTATTAGTTTATTCATTCTTTGGCTTAGCAATAGCACCTGGTTTCAAAGAATCTGGGGTGTGCTGTTCAATCTCTTTAGCATGGAACACATCATGAACTGTGTCAGTTGTTGGCCATTGGTATTTATCAGAGTAATCAAAGTTGTAATCTCTGAATTTAGGATGCTCCTTCAATTTATTTGGTTCTCCCTTGAGGTATTTATTTAATTCAACGAACCAGCTAGCGCTCAAAGCTTCTCCTTCAGGTTGAGGACCGTGGTTTACGTTATGGTGATGATGGTCAAGATCTTCGAAGTCGTAATTCATGTATTGAGAAGTGTCAAGCTCGAACCATTCCCTCTTCTCATCAGTGATCTCGAACAAGTCGCTCTTGGCAACATGATCGTACTTCTTGAAGTAAGAGCACAGCAATGGCATGTAGTAGTAGCCACCTGTGTAGTATCTGAACTCCATTGCCAAGAGTTTACCGACTACAAGGAAGGAAATAAATCTGTATCCAGGCAACATTCTCTTGAAGAAGGGGACTCTGGTAACGAGCTCGAAGCCACCCCACAGTCCGGCGAATGTAGACAGGGCGCTATTTCTTTTATACCCAGTATACAGATTCTGTATACTTTCTCTTTCAGCGAGAGGAATATTATTAGTAAGGAGGTACTTTTGTTCTCCATTTCCATTTTTGTACTGGTAATAATATTCGAGACCATCGTCTTCAACCATGAATTCTCTGAACCAAGGTCCTCTTGATACCTTGGCAGGCCTTGTGAAGTAACCTGGGGCAATAAGTCTATCCATCTTGTTATATAATTATTATAATTAATATAAATTTCTATAATTGCTAAGGTTAATGGGGTTTTGGGGTTTTGGGGTTTTGGGGTTTTGGGGTTTTGGGGTTTTGGGG